GTCTCTCTCTCTCTCTCTCTCTCTCTCTCTCTCTCTCTCTCTCTCTCTCTCTCTCCCCACACACACACTCAAACATCTGCAATAACAGATTTAAAAAATCACAAGTATCTCAGAGCTTCTACAACGAAAGAAAAAGCTCAAGATTTCTTGAGACCCTGATTAGGTCTGCGCTACCTGTACGTGAAAGAGAGCTTTGGGATTATAGGAAAAAATTTATTCCCTACCTTTGATGGTGACATGTATGAATTTGATGATTTTTTAATAGCTCGAGATTTATTGAGATATTAGGTCTGTGCTACCTGGTACGTGAAAGAGAGCTTTGGGATTTCTGGTATATCAAACAATGCTACTGAAAATTTCCTAGTTAAGCATAGTTTTTTTTTATATTTCAGATGTTTTCAAATGGTTAATTAGTCAATTCAATTGGTGTAATTTAATTTTTGGGCCAAAACTAATGCAAGCCTAGCACATGACAAAACCTCTTCAAAAAGTGAACCTGAAGTGAATATAAATTCTTCAATTGTTTCACAAGAAAAAAAAAAAGAGCCCACAATTTTTCAACAAAATAAATAACATTTAATATCTAATAGGAGAAAACTTTTCAAAAAACTCTTCAATAAGTGGCCCTGAAGAGAAAATAAAGAAGTATGTAATTCTTTCTGAAAAGAAATGAAAAAAACCACAGTTTCTCGAGAAAATAAATAACATATGAACATCTAAAAATAGAAATTCAATAATATTCAGTTAAATATAATTACCTCAATCCCAAGAGAAACTAAATGGATGTGCAATTCATTAACAAAAATCGTAGTCTCTAAATGATTCGAAAAAGTTCTATTCAGAGAATTTCAAAGTAAAGGCAAGTATAATTACCTGCATCTTCAAGGGAACAGAGCAAATGCTGGAAGAATCAGCGACGTCCATGGATTCATCCATCTCTTTCTTCCTCCCTCTGCAACTGCGCCTTGGCAAAGATAGGCATAAATCTTCCTGTTTGCCACCCATCCTTCTCCTCCTGGTTGAAGCTCTAGTTGAAGTTCTTCCCCCACTATCCAAGGAGATTTCGCCCACATTTTCAGACACAAATGTATTTGTTGATTCTTCATTTAAGTTTTGTGCCGGAAATTGGGCATTTTCTGATTCACTTAAATTAGTTGTTCCTTCAATCTGGTTATTCAGCAAATTTTAGATTATTAAGATCCATTAGTTTAGCCACCAAAGCCAACAATGAGCAGAATAAAACACATAAGTACAAAAAAAAAAGAAAAAAAAGAAAAACACACACACACACACCGAATATACCGAATTAGGTATAGGGACCAGATACTATGACTTATATGACTGTTTTATTCCAGTCATCACACCCAACATCCATTGCCTGTAGTTATCCATAGGCAGTGAAGTTGAGTAATTGTCCCCACCGAACAAATAGAGCAACTATAAAAGTGGGAAGCAACTCATCAACCTGCATCATTGGAATAGCATGGACAGTAGATGTTGCAATATTCCATACTTTTATGAAGTATGGAATATTTTCTTTTAGGTATTATACAATGGGTGCAAAATATTTGCCCTTACAATAGGTCCATCTTTAAGGTAAGATCAGAAAATGAATTGACAAAACGATTATCAGATAAAATGAGAATATACACTGGCATGGCTAGTACATGAACACAAGAATAAATCGATTGAAATGGATGGATGGATAGACTGATTGACAGACAGATAGAGGGCGAAAAAGAGAATATTCAGTTAATTATTACAGAGTACCTTCATCTTCAACTGAAGATCAGAACAAATACTCAAGGAATTAGCAACCTCTTTTTGTTCTGTTTCTTTCTTCCTGCCTCTGCAACTCCTCCTAGGCAATGAAAGGACGGGTTCTTCTTCTTTTACATTCATCCTTCTCCTACTTGAAATTCTTGTTGAAGTCCTCTGACCAATTGCTGGGGTCATTTCAACATTTTCCATCAGGCATGACTCTGAACAGTCCTCGCTTAGTTGGACTTTTGATCCTTCAAACTGAAAACACATTGGCAAATTTACAGTGTTAATTAGTGCATAACCTTTAATCCGGTAAACAAAGGACAAATGACACTAGTGAGACTGATCTAGAGAGAGAGAGAGAGAGAGAGAGAGAGAGATGTTTAAGACTACTCAGATAATCCACAAAAGAGCATTATATTTAATGATACATAATATATTTGGACACTGTTGAGATTGGAGGGGGGGTTGTTTAAAACTATTCAGAATTCACATTACTCCACAAACGAACATGAAGTTTGATTATAAAAAGCAAACTGGACACAAGTTATTGAATTATCAGATACTATGGGTTCTGGACTAATTTCAGGAAAAAAAAAAGAAAAAGAAAAAAACAGTTGATCAAAATCTCTGTCAGAATCGATCAAAATTCAAAAGATTTGATTAACTTCCCTATAAATTCATATCAGAAGATAACAACACAAGAGGAAAGACAAGCAGAAGCTAAAAATATAAAAGGAAAATCTACACTTACATCTCCAAGTTCTTTCAGAGCATCAGCCATGGCTACATTGCTCATGTTCGCCTTAATGCAATGCGCCTTGCACAACGCCTGAAGCTCCTTCCTTGAAAGGCTATGGAAATCCATCCCGTGGAAGTTTGACAAGGTTTCCATTATTGAAATTTCACCTCAAATTAGCCTTTCAGGGACGCTGGAAAACAATGATTCCTATACCTACAAAGGTCACTAGGGTTATTCCTACGGCTGAACTACCCCACAAGAAAACAAGGTCACTAGGGTTTGAGATCTTCAAACTTAACAAATCTCGGATTGCTAGTCAGTATTTGGGAAGAATGGATGTTAGCTTACCAAATTGTTGATTGAATAGATAAAGATGAGTATTTGAAAAATGGTTCTCTGTGCTTTAAGAATTGACACTAGAGTTTTTTGAGCAAAAAAAAGTTGCAGGCCACCAGAAATGGCAATCAAATCTCAAAAAGAAAACCAGTTGCCCTTCAAAAGAATGGTTCAGGATTGTAAGAAAAGCACTGTTAGGGCTAGGATTTTGAATGAAATGGATCTCAGCTCGTCACAAAAAAAGAGAAGATATCACAGTTTCAAGAGCCAAAGTGAAAGTAAACTGAAGAAGGGAAAGAAAACCAGTGGCTTTATACACAGATTAGGGTTTCTTGCAAGACAGATTCGGGTTTCTTAAAAGAGTTAGGGTTTCATAGCGGCATATGACCGTTGTGTTCGAAATTTGATTTAATTTGAATTAGCAATCTAACGGTCGGGATTTGAACCATGTCAGCTACTATGACGTCAGCTCGATTTGGACAAGCCGGTTACTTTTGCAAGGGAGACCAAGCGTAAAATTACGAAATTACGAAATATCTCTCAAAAAAGAAACTTTCGGTAAAATATTCATTTTTGTTGGCTGTATAAAATAGAAAAAGCTTGAATAAGGTTTCAACTATATACTATAGAAGTAAGGTGGCCATCAAATATAGCAAACAAGAGTGCTTCTAAGTAAAAAAACTTTTTTCCAATTGATACATCTCGACTCGAGATGTATGGATATAAAAAAATAGAAATTTTAAGTCCTAAAAATAATGCATCTTGTAACAAGTTATTTGAAACATCTATTTTCAAGATTTTTACGTGTTTATGGATATATATGATTTATACTATTTTTTAAATTTTTTATTTTATAATTAGGGTTAGACATGGAATTTCAAGACATCCTAAGCTTTCCGACACCAGAACTACATTTTTCCAACAAAATTTAGAGGTGCACCTTACTTGTATAGTATAAGGCATGAACTTTATATAGACCTCACCCTTTAAAGTATCCCCCTCTCCCACCAACTCCAAAAAAAAAAAAAAAAAAAAAAAAAAAAGAAGAAAAAAGAAAAAAAAAAGAAGAAGAAGAAGGAGAAGAGCTTTTGAAACCATACCACTAACCTAAATATTACTTATTTTTTTTACCCATTCCCAAATAAAAATGTAGTTTGGTTATTTATCCCGTAGGAGCAATGCGTTCCGTTCGTACAAACATACCACACACAACTGGATGTAGAGCCAAGCCACTAAGAGTTGGGTACCAGACCGGGCCGAGCATAGGTGCCACATCTAAAAAGTAGAGTATTGATCAGCCTAGTGCACCAACCACGTAGTACAACGGGCACTCAAAGACATGACGAATGGTGGCCCACCTTTTAATATAAAAATACCCCCTATAAACCACATTTCTTTCGCTTTCCAATTTTTTTTTTTGGCAATGAAGCCGATCTGACAATAGTGTGCCAGACTGATTTCTAGACTATATTGACTGACACCCATCTGTCACACAATATGCTAGACTGACTTTATATAAAACAATGAAACCGGTCTAGAACACAGTGTATCAGACTGAATTGAAGTAGGTTTGGCACAAGGGACAAGAAGCCGACCATGTGCCAAATTGGCTTGATTTTTTTCATTGAGAGATATATATTAATCCTATAAAGAAACTTATTTTTATTTGGGCGTCAAGTAAAAATAAATATTATTGAGGTTAATAGTATAATTTTAATAACAAGGCAAACTTTATATGGTTTTCCCTTACAATATAAAACTTATATGCTTTCCCTTATCGAACCGTCCATTCTGAATGGAGGACTAAGATTGCCCCAATTGGAGCGTGAAGATTTCCCCAATCACAATGCTGAATGAGAAGGCTCAAAGTTTTGAAAGAAAAAGTATCTATGCTGATTGAGAAGGTACTTAATATATTTGTGGTTCTAGTGTCTTAGGTGTGCGAGTTTGGATGGGGATGCAGATAGGCTTTGTTTATTTCCTTGTCCCATCAGAAGGATCCAAAGCATAGATCTTATTAATGGAGATAAAATATTGTCACTTTTTGCTTTATTTGTCAAGGAGCAGTGAAGGATTCTGGATAACAAGGAGAAAATGGGTACCTCTGAATATGATTATTCAGTTAAACTGGGCATTGTGCAAACTGCATATGCTAATGGGGTATCAACAGATTATCTAAAAGAACTTGGCATGGAAGTTGTTTTCACTCCTACAGGAGTGAATTACCTTCATGAGAAGGCTGCAGAATATGATAAAGGAATCGAATTTTGAGGCAAATGGTCATGGAACTATTCTGTTTTCGAAGAAGTTCCTTAAATGGTTGGAGGCTAAGATTCAGGGCTTAGCTGCAAGTTAGCATGCGTTTGTGAATTTTTTCTATAGAAAAGACATCTAATTGGTGCTTCCTTCTTGCATTTTTTTTTTTGGGTTTAGGTTCAGAGATGCAAGCGGCTCAGAGATTGTTGGCTGCAAGCAATTTGATCAATCAAGCTATCCGTGATTCTTTGAGTGGCATGATTTTGGTGGAGGTTGTTCTCTGCTATATGGAATTGTCAATTCAAAGTTGGAAAAACCTTTATCAAGATCTTCCCAGTAGGTAAGTGAACGTTTGTTATTACCCTGATGTATATGAGAATTGATTATTATTTTTAACTTTTTATTTGAATATTGCTTTCTTTTCCTTGTACTTCATGTGTTATCCCTCCAATGTATGCCCTTTTTAGTAATCGACCAGCTATTTCAGGGGGTCAGCTCCATCCCACACCCTAAGTACTAGGAGACTGTGCCACACCTCCATTTTCTTTCAAGGTTTTGTCCATGGTCACCTAGCAATTGACACGTGAAATTTCTTCACGTTGTCTAGAATGGACACTCTCATGGACCACAATATCACTCTCAATGATCTTTTATTGTCAAGCAAAAGCACCTTAAACCAGGAATTACAAACCCCAATGCCTCATGGAACCAAGATGACAGAACTTTATCAGGGCCTCATAGAAACTCCCAACCAGACTGTTGTAGTCTAACAGCTACAACTTTCCGTTCCTTTTCGAAGTTGGAGCAAGGGTGATGAACATAGTCCTAGTTCCACATTCCATACCCCATTGATTGTTGCACTAACATACCCATATGGCATTTGACTAAGTGTAGCTCTCTTGAATTCTCCTGTGTTCTACACTCCCAAGTAGGCCTTCTATGACCTGTTAACTCCATAGTGGTCTTGCAAAAGACTTGATGCCTCAGCATTGTTTGTTTATGAAATTAGGCAAAAATTGGCTAGAGCTTAGTGAGATTATTTAAAACTCTATATTCTGTTGTGTCAGTGGTTCTAGAGTTTCTAAAGTTTTTCTTGAGTTTGATGCAGAACTTCTTTCTATTTTACAATAAAAAGACACTTTTTCTTTCTTTATGCTTTGGGCATATTAATTTGTTCATGTAATACACTGCTGTGTCATGTTAATTTATTTCCCAGACTATATTATGATAAATTACTGCAAGATGATCTAGGCAGTTATAAAATTTCAGAATTATGTGGTTTTTTTTAGTGAAGTATTTGAGTAATATTTTGTTTGATATGCAGGGTTTCATGAATTACCAGAGTTGTTATAATAATTATTTGTTTTTCCATAAACCTTCAGGTAAAAGTTGTAGGTTGAACTGCCATGGTTACCACAACTGCAGAAACCAGCGTTTTAAGGCCTCTGGGTCTTCAGGAGGCACTCAACTTAGAAGTTCGTAAGAAGATTTACACTATATTAGAAACATGGGTTTAATCGAATGCCCACTTGTTTCATACACACACATATGAGAGAGAGAAGAGAGAGAGAGAGATTTGAAAGAAAGACCTATGTAATCTTTTGTAGGGAAATACACTTTTTTTTTCTTTTTCTTTTTTAATAATAATCACCTTTTATAATTTTGGCAACAAGATCACGCACAGATGGTCTTATTACAAACAATAGAAATTCCACAAATAAATAACACATTAAGAAAATAAATCTCAACTACTGAATGTCATTCAAACAACCTAATACTGTCCTTGAGAATATAAAATAAAAGAACAAACATTTAAAAGAAAAGATGCCGGAGATTACTTCAACTGGGCTTTTTACACCTCATACTGAGTCACCATATCCAATGGCTTTTTACACCCCACACCGAGTCATCATATCCAATAGTGCAGGATCAACGGTCTAGCTTCAATCTCGAACCGGGAAAGCTAATTTCGGCCAAACTATTAGATTAGATCATGATAGAGAGAGAGTTTTTATGTTGGGGCGTGCCCCCAAGGGTCGGCATGGCCCCTAGGGAAGAGAGAGAGTTTATGGGAGAGAGAGGTGTGTAGAGATGGGGGAGAGCACCCTATTTATAGTGAAATTTAGGTCTAAGGTTTTTTTAGGGTTTTCCATAGTTTTCCTATTTCTTGAGATTGCATATGAATCATTGATCAAGGTGATTTGTGGGATGAGAGATCTGAGCCATTCATTCCATAGATGGATCATCAACATTATGAAAGGTGCATGAACCACTATCCCTCTTTCCTTAAACCATTTTCCCATCAATATATGTAAATAAATTAAATCCATTAAAGATATAGTGCATACCATAAATTGCATATTCCAACTCATATTTTCTGTAAGAATATTTCAATAATATCAAGTTAAGATATTCCTTCAAGATAAGATATGATCAATATTTTCTAATCAATATTTGATCATATGCTATAAGATATAGTTACCATATTTAACAAAGTTGAAGACAAAGCAACAAGAGAAGGTATTCAAGGGTGGGACGTGCCACCCATGTATGGTATGTGGGGCCCCACCTAATACCCACATGGTGGGCCCATGTGCACTATGGGCCCCCCATGTATTTTTTTTAATAAATATTTTAAAATTAAACATAATGAATTTTAAAACATTATAACTTTGTAAATTAATAATTTCATTTTTATAAGTCCAAAAATAAGAAATAAAATATCAAATGACTTATAAAAATTTAAATAATAAATCTAAAATAATTTAATAATAAAATAAACACAATTAAATTAATATGATGAGAAGTGGATCCATATAGTTCAGGAATTCAATCAACGATCACGGGGTACCCCACCTTCAACTGTAGACTACAGACCACACGTCCATTATCAAACCGACCCACTGTTTCCCATGATCCACAGTCCAAGCAGGGCTCATTAGCGGGTCACCAAAGTCTGGTCGATGAGCCAAGGAGTCGCAATCCCAGTTTGTGGATTACAGGTCCTCTCCTAGAGACAAGTCAAAGTCATCACGAACTGATGCGACCACAGTTCTATGGCGCATAGGGGTATCTCTCGTACATGCATATGCTTCAC